AATCTGCAGAGCCCTTACATCCTTGAGAGGAAAAGGCAAGGCTAGAGTTCGGCCAGGTGAGCCGTGCCGGCTGGTCAGCACGGAAGAGCACCACGGGGGCCAAGGACTCGGCAGGCAGGCAGGAGGGTGGCACATGGAGTGTGGCATGTTGTCATGGGGTAGCTGTTGACCACTCAGGAGCTTCACGTATACCACATGCCTATCCTATAGGGACTTGCCACAGGATTTCAGGTAGGGAAGCACATCAGTCCAAAGCGCACACTGGATGGCCGGGCGCAGTGGCTCATGCCTGTAATCCCAGCACACCGGGAGGCCAAGACAGGTGGATCGCCTGAGGTCAGGAGTTCGAGACCAGCCTGGTCAACATGGTGAAACACCGTCTCTACTAAAAATACAAAAATTAGCTGGGTGTGGTGGCGCGGTAATCCTAGCTACTCAGGAGGCTAAGGCAGTAGAATCACTTGAACCTGGGAGCCGGAAGTTGCAATGAGCCAAGATCGCACTACTGCATTTCAGCCTGGGTGACAGAGCGAGACTCCTTCTTCAAAAAAAAAAAAAAAAAAAAAAAATGCATACTGGAAAGCTCCCCAGTGCTCGGTGGAACCACAGGGCACAAAGCAGAGAGAGGCTATGTCAATGCAGTAAGGGGGAGGAGCAGAGGAGGGCAGCTGAAGCAGCATTTCCATTCCATTCAGGAGGGAAAAGGCCTGGTGTGCAACTGGAGAAGGAAGTGTCCAAAGGACACTCACATTCCTGACATAAGAATCAGGGAAACAAGAGTGTGGCCCACTGAAGAGGGAATAGAAAAGAAAAAAAATAGGCAAAAGTGAGGAAACAGGGAAGACCATCAGACGCTGTAGTGAAATGCTCATGGTGGTCTGATATGAATGACAGGTCCTGGGCTCAAAAGGGTTCTGGGCTGGAGATATTTGGATGTTTAGGTGGAAACAGGAGGCAATGAAGTTACCAGTGGATGAGATGAGAACAAGGAAAGTGAAAAGAGAGCCCAGGATAGAACTCCAGCCATGCTATGATCTGAATGTTTACGTCCCCTCAAAACTCTTATGTTGAAACCTAATCCCCAATGTGATGGCTCTGGGAGGTGATTAGGTCATGAGGGTGGAGCCCTCACAAATGGGATTAGTGCCCTTTAAAAAAGAGGCCAGAAAAAAAAAACCCTCACCCCTTCCAACATGTGAAGACAGTGAAAAGGTGCTGTCTGTGAACCAGAGCGTGGGCCCTCCCCAGACAGTTAATCTGGTAAGCACCTTGAACTTGGACTTCCAGCCTCCAGAACTGTGAGCAGTATTTCTGTTGTGTGTAAGCCACTCAGGGTATGGGATTTTGTTACAGCAGCCTGAATGGACTATGTCAGGGGACCACCATTAACAGCCAGACTGAGGGAAGGGAGACAGAGAAGCAGCAGCTGTGGGGGCAGGAAGAGACTCATAAGAGGGTGGTGTCAGAAGACAAGGGAAGAGGAATCAACCACACTACATGTCAGGGGATGGCACACAACTATGTTCTTACTGAAAGGAAAGCGCTGTACACAGTTCTTTAAGGGTCAATCGCCCTTTAGGAATGACTCAAAAATGTATAAAATCCACTCCCAAATCCAAAAAGAACTGAGAAATAGAGAAGTGTGCAGAGAAACCACAGAGGGATCACGTCCATAGTGGGAGTAGAGTCTACTATGCTACCAGGCACTGCAGAGTCATGGCACAGAAGGAGTTTAAAGGACAGTGCCAAGTGAAAACTGTGCATCAGCATGACAAAATCAAGTAGGCTCAACGATTTCACACACACCCTTGACGTGTTTCTCCAGATGTTCTCCTTAGTTCTACAGCCAGCCAACGGAAGATTAACTGAATGGGACTCTTCTTTTCGAATGGCCATCTTAACACTTATGTTGAACTCAAGGTAGCCATTCTGCCTGGACTCTCAATGCCGTACACGGAGCTCCCCAAATGATTCCTAAGGGTTCTGGCTGGAGAGGTGCAGGCTGTCAGCACTGCAGTGACCACTCAGCCAAAAAGATGATGAGGGGAAGAACTCCTGCTGTTAAAAGAAATGCTCTAAAGCAGCTTACCAACACAGAATGCAAGTCACATCTGTAATTTCAAATTTTCAAGTAGCCACATTAAGAATTAAAAAGAGTCAGGCATGGTGGCTCACGCCTGTAAACCCAGTACTTTGGGAGGTTGAGGCAGGCAGATCATCGGAGATCAGGAGTTTGAGACCAGCCTGGCCAACATGGTGGTGAAACCCCTCTCTAGTAAAAATACAAAAATTAGACGGGCATGGTGGCACATGCTTATAATTCAAGCTACTCAGGAGGCTGAGGCAGGAGAATCACTTGAACCCAGGAAGCAGAGGTTGCAGTGAGCCGAGATCGTGCCACTGCACTCCAGCCTGGATGACAAGAACGAAATTCCATCTCAAAAAAAAAAAAATAGAATTAAAAAGAAACAGGCAGCTGAAATTTATTTTAAGAACACATTTTACTTTAATATATCCAAAATGTTATATTTCAACATGTAATCAACATAGAAATTATTAATGAAATGGTGTACAGGGTTTTTCCTATATGTTTTGGAAATCTAGTGTATATTTTACACCTAAAGCAGTCCCAATTTGGACAAGCCACAGTTCAAGTACTCAATAAGCCATGTGGCTTACTCAATAAGCCGCTACCACACTGGACAATGCAGGTCTAAATGGAATCTATGCAAACCAAGAGAAAGTTCTGATTCAACTAGAAAATCTCCAGGAAATATGCCCATGCCTGAGTTTTCAGGACAGGAAGAAGGGAAGTAAATTTCCCTGAAAGCAGTTATGAATTTTATGTAAGTACTCCATTGTGAAATCACAACGAACATCAGCAGGGCTGGGATGGTCAAGAAGGCTGCAGGACATGGCCTTGGGGAAGCAGGTGACCAACCAACAGGTGTTATCAAGGCTCTGTCTGTCACCAGCAGAGCCCAACTTCTAACCATCATTACCTTTCCACGGTGCTTCTCCTTTATCCTTTTCATCTTCCAACAGCCCTATGAGGAAGGCAGGCCTTACCCCATTCCACATATGAAGAAACCGAAGCCCAGGCAATTTAAATAACTTGCTCATTTCTAGTTGCCCCTCTTAGACTTGGATCCAGAATGCAGGCCTCACCCCTATTCCAGGGGTCTTCAATAAGTAGCTGATCAGAAACAGCCGAAAACCCATGGCAAGCCCTACCTAGTTCCTGAACAACTCCCCACTTAATGACATTTCATACGGCACGTCCCTTCTGTAAAGAGCTTATGAGTTTTCAAAACATCCTCATGCCCATATATGATCACCGCTAAGGGATGTACCGACTGCCCTAGAAATAGTCTATAAAAGCCCAACTACAGCCCAGAGGGGCTGGCTCATCCAAGGTCATTCCTGGCCCTCATCACTACGTTCAACATCTCTCTTCTACTGCATGCTGCCTCCCTTGATAACACCTTTTACTTTTCAGATAAAAGTTTTAAATGTCAAGGTTATTTAAAAAACATTATTTTGTTGTTTTCTCAAACCAGTGGGTAACTTATGATAAGGCAGTTTTAATCAATCACACAAGTGACTTTACCATAAGATCTCCCTCCAACTCTGGCCAACCTTAAAGTGGCCTGACTGCATTCTCAGAGCTCTACGAGGTACTGGCTGCAGCCAGTGGGACCCCTGCCCTTACTAATCAATGTTCACATACACACTGATCCAATTCTGCAGAGTACAAAAGTGTGTGGCAGATCAGGGTACGCAGATCCTTTTCCTTCCTCGGGTCTGGCTGAAGGGGAACTGAAGTAAGGGCTACCTCTGAGGTCTGGCCTTTATTTTACACACTTCACCTCCGTGGGGTCTCACCTTTTATTTATTTTAGGCAAGTCTAACAATTTGGGGTTTCTTGGCTCTTTGTAACTGTAGAACATGGGTTCCTTGCATATTTAACTGGGCCAACACTTAAATAATAGCTATTTATAGCTAACACATTGACTTCCAACTAGTGAGGAAAAGCTTCCTAGCCAATATATGTAAATATTGCTGAATGCAATAAGGTGAAGGCTCAGCGTCACATTTTAATAGCAAACAGCCTGGCTCTCAAGGAATTGATCACATTAAGGCAAGAGCTCAGTTATTCTCAAGGGAAAATAAGCATATTGCAGATAAATATACAAGAACTTCAAAATACCACTCTCTGACCCCCACAGCAATAAACACTTTCCAAACTTCCTTCACTTGTGAATTCTTAAGATTTTCACAACTGTTCAGTAAACAGGTATAAAAGAACGAAAACAGAATCCCAGAGATTTAAAAATGCACCCTGCTACACAGCTAACTGCAAGTACAGCTTGAACCTGGGACTTGTGGAAATGGGTCCAGAGGTCTCCCACCTGGGCCAGGTGCTCTGACATAACCAGGACACCTGAGCATCATAACATCATCACTAGGACCCAAGGACTGCTTTCATAGGATATGAGTGAGTGCTTTACTTTCCCTTTAGTTAACCATATTCCAAGTCCATTCAAACTAAGGAAGTCATGCAGAACAAAAAATATCACTTTGCACAAAGGATGAAAGAGCTGACACATAAGCAGCCCCCAGCTGTCAAGGCTCAGGGACTTCCAAGCACACCAGGTCACCTTTTCTCATCAGGAATTCAAAGCTGAAGGTCAGCAAGTTTCTAGCCCAGGAGTGTGGTGGATTATTTCTAACATGTGATTTGAATAGTCTTGACAGTAGCCATGATGGCCTCCAGCCATGCCACAGTCCCGCAATCCAAGAGTCCCAGATGCAAAGGAAAGCCAACCAAGACCCCCGCTGGGAACCACTTCCGCACAGCAGGCGTGCCACGTCCTAAATGCAACACGACTGCACCCTGCCCAGTGGAACTCGTGCATTCAGAAGAGAAGGGAGGTCAAGGAGGAGAAGGAGAGAAGAGAGAGAAGCAGAGAGAAAGCAGCAGTCAGCATCATTCTTACTTTTCTGGCAGCGGTTTGTGGTCCAGCAGCGGTAGTTGTACTCATTGTTGATGGTGGTCTTCTCGCACATCGGCTTCTCCTCCATGGTCCCCGGACACAGGTCCCCGCATTCCTTTGGGGGCTTATTCCCCACAATGTAGTTATTGGACACTGCATCCAGGATCAGGGACCAGTCCACAGTGGAGAGGTAACAGAGGTCAGCATTTTTCTCAATCCTGATGGCCCCCCGAGTAATGTTCCTCAGGTTGTAAAGCCCAATATCCTTGAGATTGGTCATCTCAAAGATGACCAGGGCGTAGTTGTAGAAGAGTTTCCAGCCGCGGATTACCGTGAGGTTGGGGAACAGGTCTCCGAGGCTCTCTAGGCCAGCCACTCGGAACAACAGCAAGTACTCGGTGATGACCGTGAGCTTGGGGAAGCGGTAGCTGCGGTAGTCCTCGGCCTTGGAGATGAGCAGGATGTGGAGGTAGCCCTCGATCACCGTGCAGTTCTCCAGGCGCTTCAGCTGCTGATAGTCGTTGCGGATGTCGATGCCCGGCCCACAGACTGAAGGGAGACAAGAGGGTAAACGTCTCAGTTAAAAGAAAATAATTTTTAAAACTATTTTTCCAACAATAATACAGTTGGTTTTTAGGAATCCTGTATTATTATTAAAGAAATAAGGTTTGGCCAGGTGTGGTGGCTCACGCCTGTAATCCCAGCACTTTAGGAGGCCGAGGCGGGCGGATCACGAGGTCAGGAGATTGAGACCATCCTGGTTAACACAGTGAAATCCCATCTCTAATAAAAATACAAAAAATTAGCCAGGCATGGTGGCGGGCACCTGTAGTCCCAGCTACTCGGGAGGCTGAGGCAGGAGAATGGCGTGAACCCGGGAGGCAGAGCCTGCAGTGAGCTGAGATTGCGCCACTGCACTCCAGCCTGGGTGACAGAGCAAGACTCCGTCTCAAAAAAAAAAAAAAAGAAAAAAGAAATAAGGTTCAATCATTCACGGCAAAGCTGTGGGTTGCAGACTGACAGTCTAGGTGGCTAACCAGTTAGCTGGCATTCATTCTGGGCCAGACTGTGCAGCACACACCAACCGACTATGGGAGAGGCCATCCCCGTCAACCTTGCAAACTAAAACTTACAGCCCAGGGGCACACAGAGGGACAGGCGAAAGTTAAATCTGCAACCCAGGCCAGCCCGATTCCACCACTGCACACTCCTGGTCCCTTCTGCAGAGTGTCAGTTGCCAAGGCCTGAGCAACAGCTCAGCAGCCAACTATCAATAACTTACTACTGCACCCTGCCTGAAGGGTACAGGGCAATCAGTCTACTCTATGCTGGAAAACTGTCACTGTGACCTGGAAAGTGGGGACTCCAAAACGCATATTCGACATGAGCCAGGTAGACTGTGTTCTCCCCATATCTGCATTAATGTAAACATAAAGGATAACCTAAGATTAAAAACATGATTTTTTTATGAATAAAAGAAGCATAAATTCCAACTTTAAGAGTTTTATTGATCAAGAAAGCATGCTTCCTACAGAGAGTTTAGAGGTAATAACAACAACAACAAAAAAAACAGTAAAAATCATCAACGATCTCAATATTCCAAGATAAACAATGTTAACACTATGCCAATTATCCACTCTCTATAAATGAAGGCAAGTGAAATCAGACAAAAATACGACATTTGTAAACACACTTCCTTCACTTAACATTCTACTAAGTCAATACATGTCCTTCTACAACATCATTTTAAGGGGACAGTAATTCCAGGGTATGAATACACACCATGAGGCTTTTTTTTTTTAACCAATCCCTTATTGTTGGACATTTAGGTTAGCTCCTGTTTTGCACATTATAAACAACACTCCAGTGAACATTCTTGGCAGATACCCAAGGCTATTTTCTTAGGATAAATCCCTAGAAGTAGAATTGCTGGGCCAATGCATTTGTAGATTTTAAAGGCTTTTCATAAAATGGTCTCAGTACTGGATGACTTATTTTCTAAATTCTAGGCACAGACACACACCAAGAAAACTTTTTGTTATAACCTTTTTTAGGATTTAATAATCCCCAAGTCCACCATTAAAGCTTCTCAGATAGAGTGAAGTTTTCTGATGGATGTAATTAATTTGGGAAGCACCCAACGTGTATGACACCATGAGAAATGCTAACAGGCAGTGCCCTGACTCTGAGGAGGCTCATGGTAAAGGCAAGGGGCTAAGATCCATGAGGAAAAATTGTCACATGAGGCAGGTGGTCAGCGGTGTGCACACAGCAAGTCCACTCTAGATGTGAATGGAATTAAGCAGGACAGACAAGAGGTGGTGTCCAAGCTTCGTGCCACTGTGCTGAGGGAAGCTCTCGGCTTCCCTGATTCCACACTGCTCTGCCTTCTACCTTGCCTCTAAATGTTGGTTGCTATCCTCAACCATTTCCTCTGTCACCTCATCCACACAAGTGGCTTCCTGTGCCACTCATACTCTAGATGATGATCAAATTCATGTCACTAGTCCAGACTCTTCTGAGCTCTAATGTATATATCCATCTGAGTATATCCACTGAGGTGTCTAATAACTCATTCATTCCCCCACAAAATCCACCTTCCAAGCTTCTAAACTGTAGTACTCTCATTCTCTGAGTTGCTCATGTTAAAAATCAAAGAGTCATTCCTGATTCTTCTCTCCTCTCACACCTCACATATTTAGTCCGGCAATAGACCTCAGGGTTCAAGCTCCCAAGGCTATGAGAATCTTGGTTGCTCTTCCCACAAGGCCGTCCCACCTCATTCCTCCCTGAGCAGCACACTGTTCCTCGACAACCCCACACACTTCCCTCCCAAAGTACACCACTCTCTGCAGGACATGGCTCTGGCCTTTCTTCTCATGGTCTCTCTCATCACTACCAACACAATGGCAGCTCCAGTTGGTTCACTATTATATCCCCAGTGCCTAAAACAGTACTTGGTGTGCTAAAACAGTACCTGGTGTGCCTAAAACACTACTTGGATGCATCACATGGGACACATGCAGAATGAGTGAACTTCATCATTCATTCAGTGTCCGTGTGTCTCCACTACTTTAGCTCTGATCTGAGCCACCATCATCTCCAGCTTGGCCTAAAGCAACATATTCCCCATGATCCAGCCTCCCCACGGTCCATCCCTGTCCCAACACCATCCCACAAGACTCCACAGGAGTCGCCAACCTCCAACACACTGAGCTCCTCCTCTGCTCATACCCTGCTGCCCACAGTGCTTCTGCTCCTTCAGGAGGTTGCCCCATTCTCTCACCATGTGAGTCTCCACTCAAACGTAACCTCCTCAGAGCTTGGCCTAAACACCTTACCTTCAACTATTCCCCCAACTGTCCCCCAACTCCTCCCTCCCTACCTCTCATTTCTCTTCTCACTTCTCTGAAAGCTCATTTTATATAATATTTTTAATAATCTTGTGCGTGAAACAAAGTTTGTGTACAATTAACCATTTTATTACCCTTTGTGGAGGTGTTTGAGGGAATCTGGGCATGTGTGGAAAAGACACATCACATCTGAAGGGGGCCAGGAGGGTCTTTTTTCCCTTGGGGACACTAAATTAACTGTGGGTCGTGCGCCTGAGTTTTGACTATGACCCGTCACATGAGGTGAGGTGTGGAATTTTCCACTTGTGGTATCATGTCAGTGCTCCAAAAGCTGAAACTTTTGGAGCATTTTGGATTTTGGATTTTTGGATTAGAGATACTCAATCTGTATAAAGTGTTAGGCATCTATTTACTTGTTATTTCCAACAGATCACAAAATTCAGTACCTAGTGGAAGAACATGAAGACATAGACTGAAGCAAGCTGAACTTCATACTGCAATCAAACTGCAGACAGGAGGAAAGAATCTGCTTCACTTTGCCATCTGGCCCCCCTTCCACAGCCAGTGTTGACCACTAGTTAAGAGACGCCACGCTACAGAGCTGGAACTGTGAATTTCCTTCAAATGAAAGGGCAGTCTCCATACTCGACACTTTTCCTCCCATTTACGAAGAAAAGAGAAAAAAAGCAGGAAGAAGTTACCCACTTATTCTGGAAGAAAAGACAAGCCCAAGCCACAGAGCATGAGGCAGGGCCTAGGAACCAGCTGTTTTGGATCCTATGACTGACACCATTGGTCTTCAGGATGTTCTGTGATAGAAACAGTGAAAAAGAAAACCAAGCTGGACCATGAATGATAGCAGCGTTCAGGAGGTGCAAGCCACAAACAGGAAAGAGAATAAAACATGCTCCACTGGTGCCATGAAATAATTCATGCACCGAGGGAGTACACAGTAAACACAGCACAGGAGGGAAAGACACACCCTTTGTGGCTACTCACTGATGATTAAAAGGAAAATGCAAAATACCCTTTCTCCCTTCTCAAAAGAACTGATATTGGCATGATCCAAAAACAAACCCAAAAACTTTAGGAATGTGAAATCCCAGGCAGCCCTGTAAAGAATAAGACAAGCAGGGAAGCAGAGAGAAGGGGTACAGCTGGAAGATGGGGACAGTGGGGCTTCAGCAAGTCCCCAAAGCCAGAGAATGGCAACAGCAGAACCAAAACAGATGGGGGTGCTGGGAGGCAGGGAAGGGAGTTGGGAGGGACAGGCAGGGGCTTGGTACCTGGGTAAAATTCACTTCTACAAAGATGTCATTTTATTTAATTGATTTTTAGACATGGTCTCACTCTGTCATCCAGGCTAGAGTGCTGCAGCACAATCATGGCTCAATGCAGCCTCAACCTCCTGGGCTCAAGCAATCCTTCCACCTCAGCTTCCCAAGTAGCTGGGACCACAGGGGTACACCGTAACACCTAGGGGGTTTTTTTGTGTTTGTTTTTTGTTTTTAATTTTTTGGCAGACAGAGGGTCTCCCTATGTTGCCCAGGCTTATCTCCAATTCCTGGGCTCAAGCAATCCTCCAGCCTCAGCCTCCAGAAGTGCTGGCATTACCACCACATCTGGCCAAAAGATGCCATTTTAAAGAAAGCCTAAAAAGTCAGGCACAGTGGTTCACACCTGTAGTCCCTGCATCTTGGGAGCCCAAGGCAGGTAGACTGCTTGAGGCCAAGAGTTTGAAACCCTATCTCTACTAAAAATACAAAAATTAGCCAGGGGTGCTGGTACACGCCTGTAATCCCAGCTACTTGGGTGGCTGAAGCACGAGAATCACTTGAACCCAGGAGGCAGACGTTGCAACGAGTCAAGATCACACCACTGCACTCCAGCCTGGGAGACACAGAGCAAGAGTCTGTCTCAAAAAATAATTAAAAAATTAAATTAAATTAAATTTTAAAATGAAGCCTTTCAGTTGAAATGAGCACTGTTAACAAAATACTCCTAGGTATTTTCTAAAGATCAAGAGGCAGAATGTCTGCTCTAAGAACTTAGGTGAATGGCTTATACAAGCTATACATATTTTGAAAATAAATCCCTAAGACCTAAATGTTAATAGGAGAAGGGCTAATGAAAAGCATTTGGCTGAGAAAACCCCCCAAAGCTGTGTATCTAAGTATTTGGAAGAGCTACATGAGA